CATTCTATGCCCTTCTTCTTCCATCCTACCTCAGAAGGAACCACTTTACTGAACATTTCTCACTTGCAAAATAATTTTATCATAAATTGATGCTTTCCTAAAAATACATTTTGCTAGTTTTTCCAACTTTTTATAAATGGCTTATACCATGTATAGTCTTCTGCAACTTGTTTTTCCCCACTCCATTTTATGTTCTAGTTTCATCTCTTTTTTCCTTGTAGCTGTATTTTAATCCATTTCTTCTGATATAGTCTACTTTTTAAACATTAACCATTATTTATCTATTATCCTGGTTACCGATAGTTAGTTATTTTGATATTTGCTAAGAATATTGCTATGGATTTTATTTTAATATTTTTTTAGACAGAGTCTCGCTTTGTCACCCAGGCTACAGTGAGTGCCATGGCATCAGCCTAGCTCACAGCAATCTCAAACTCCGGGCTAAGCAATCCTGTGCCTCAGCCTCCGAGTAGCTGGACTACAGGCATGCGCCACATGCTGGCTAAAATTTTCTATATATATTAGTTGCCAATTAATTTCTTTCTATTTATAGTACAGACGGCCTTGCTCTTGCTCAGGTTGGTTTCGAACTCCTGACTCAAACGATCCACCCGCCTCGCTCCCAGAGAGCAGGATTACAGGCATGAGCCACTGCCCGGCTGTTACAGATATTTTTCTACATTTCTCTTGGTACACACATGGAGAAGTTCGGAGTGAAATGCTGGGTCATAACTTTGTACATCTTTATTTGATAATGTCCAGTTGTTTTCCAAAGTATTTGTTCCAATTCATTTCCTACCAGCAGTATATATAGTTCTTACTATAGAAGGACACCATGCTGAGCTCTTAGTAAGGGCTCAGTTAAAAACAACCATACTGCTAGCCTATGAAAGTTTACTTCTAAAAAAAGTCCTGCCCAAGAAGAGGTCCTGAAGAGGTAGAACGCCATCTAGTGATCTTTTATTAGGAAACTGTGAGATTCGAAATCCCATATTGTTACTTCCATGTTTTATCTATTTGATATTGTATATTCGAAACAACCAAGGACCAGGTAAAGTGGCTCATGCCTATACTTCCAACACTTTGGGATGCCAAGATGGGAGGATCGCAGAAGTTTTAGACCAGTCTGGGCAACATAGTGAGATGCCATTTCCACAAAGAATTTTTTAAAATTACCGGGTGTGTATTCCCAGCTACTTGGGAGGCTGAGGTGGGAGGATCGTTTGAGCCCAGGAGTTCAAGTTTACAGTAAGCTATGATGGTGCCACAGCCATGCACTTCAGCCTGGATGACAGAGATCCTGTCTCTAAAAAACAAAAACAAACAAAAAACAAATAAAACCTAGAAACCTATTTGACAGCCTGACATATGAATGATATATTTAATTAAGATTTTTCCTTTATTGCTAAGAATTTCTGGCTTACATGGTTAACTTCGGTGAATCTGATTATTTATAGAATGGAAAAGCAATAAATAAAAGTGTCATGCAATTATCATTGACAGTAGAATAAATATGGAGAGGCCATGAGGAATTCTGGAACCATAAATCATCCTTTTTTTTTTTTTTTTGAGACAGAGTCTGACTCTGTTGCTGGGCAGTGGCATCAGCCTAGCTCACAGCAACTCAAACTCTTGGGCGAAAGCGATCTTCTTGCCTCAGCCTCCCAGGTAGCTGGGACTATAGGCATGCGCCAACATGCCCATCTATTTTATATATATATATGTATATTTTTAGTTGTCCAGCTAATTTCTTTCTACTTTTTTAGTATAGATGGGGGTCTCGTTATTGCTCAGGCTGGTCTCGAACTCCTGACCTTGAAAGATCCACCTGCCTCGGCCTCCCAGAGTGATAGGATTACAGGCATGAGCCATCATGCCTGGCCCACAAATCATCTATTTAATATGAAAAAGGTCGGCCGGCCAGGGCGGTGGCTCACGCCTGTAATCCTAGCACTCTGGGAGGCCAAGGCAGGAGGCTCACTCAAGGTCAGGAGTTCGAGACCAGACTGAGCAAGAGCGAGACCCCATCTCTACTAAAAATAGAAACAAATTAATTGGCCAACTAAAAACATATAGAAAAAATTAGCCGGGCATGGTGGTGCATGCCTGTAGTCCAGCTACTCGGGAGACTGAGGCAGGAGGATTGCTTGAGCCAGGAGTTTGAGGTTGCTGTGAGGCTAGGCTGACGCCAAGGCACTCTAGCCTAGGAACAGAGTGAGATTCTGTCTCAAAAGAAACAAAAAAAGGTGAAGTATACTGAGTAGTGGAACATTCAGTGCTGTAAAACTATCGCTCTTGTACTGTAAGGTCAGACTTAAACAATTTGACTACTAAAACTGATAATAATAAAATTATAGTTACACTTCTTCCTGTTGTTAAAATTTCATACTTTCTTGATAAAATTATTCCTATATCCAGAAAGTTTATTCTATGATGGAAATCTTCAGCTTTGGCAGAATATTGTTTTAAACACTCAACTATTCTGCATTTAGCCAAAATGGATTTTGGTGCACATCTACTTAGAACCTATTATTAATATTTGCTGAACTCTGGTTTGGGTACTGAGGATAAAGACAGGAGAGAGACAGTCCCTGTTTTCAAAGAGTTTATCTTATGGGGACAGGGTAGAGATTAGTATATACATGATTAGAATATAGCATAAAACATGCTATGAGACACAGGTGGAATGTGGAATCCGTTTGGAGGTCTGGAGCCAGAGTTTTTGAAAGGTTCAGCAACCCCCTAAAAGATAATCAGATGTTACGTACTGAGTCTCACTAAGCAGAAATGCTTCATGGAAGAGGTCATATCTCAACTCAAAGTTAAAGGAAGAATCAGGGCTGGCAGTTAAAGGGTTAGGGATAACGGCCAGATGAGGTGGCTCATGTCTATAATCCCAGCCAGAAGTTTGGAGGTGCAGTGAGCTGTGAACACACCACTGGACTCCAGCCTGGTGACAGAGAACATGTCTGAAAAAAAAATGGGGCGGCATGTTGTTAAGGGTAGAAAGGCAAAGTGGGAGGGCAAAGAAAAGGCTGAAAGGGAAGGAACAGTGGTTTCAGACCAAGGAGATAGAACATGTGCGAAGGCCTGAGAGAAGAGAATACAGTTCATTCTAGTTCCAGAAGTATATAAGCTGCTGTACTTACATATTTTCAACTTACAAATACTATAGTAGCTGCATTGATGTCCCTCAATGATTCTCCCCTGCTAGTATTCATGTCCTTGTATACTCCCTCCAACGCCAGGTAGGGTAATCTATGTAACCAATATGATATTGTGAAAACTATGTATATGACTTATGAGGTTATATCATAAAAACATTGTGGCTTCTGTCTTGCTCTCTTTTGGATCATTTGCTCTGTGGGAAGCCAGCTGCCATGTCATGAGGATACCCAAGCAACCCTATAGATAGGTCAATTTGGCAAGGAACTGAGGCCCTTGCCAATAGCCATGAGTGAGCTTTATTGGAAACATCTAGCCTCTGTTGATTGTAGCCTCGACTATATCCTCTTGGAAGATCAGCCTCTTGAGAGATTTCGGCTTAGTTGTGTGAGCCAGAACCACTCCACTAAGCCTCTCCAGATTCCTGAAGCATAGAAACAGTATGACATAACATATACTTATCATTGGCCTGCGTTGTGGCTCATGCTTATAATCCTAGCACCCTGGGAGGCTGAGGCAGGAGGATCATTTGAGGTCAGGAGTTCAAGATGAGCAAGAGCGAGACCCCATCTCTCCTAAAAATAGAAAGAAATTACTTGGAAAACTAAAAAATATATAGAAAAGTTAGCCAGGCATGGTGGCGCATGTCTGTAGTCCCAGCTACTCTGGAGGCTGAAGCAGAAGGATTGCTTGAGCCCAGGAGTTTGAGATTGCTATGAGCTAGGCTGAGGCCACAGCACTCTAGCCAGGCAACAGAGTGAGACTGTCTCAAAAAAACCACAAAAACAAAACCAAATACTTACTGTTTTAAGTTGCTAAATTTGGAGAGTATTTGTTATGCAGCAATAGTAACTAATAATTCACTGATGATCTTTCTGGCCCACTGAAGGGTTTTGAGATGAAATTGTATACGGTTTTCTAACAGGATCTCCCTGCCAGCTGCATTCAGAGCAGATGCTGAGTGCCAAGGGCAGAAGCTGGGAGACCACTCAGGAGGCTGGTACAGTTCAGGCGAGAGATGATGGTACTCTGAACCACAATTAAGGCAGAGTAAGTTTCTGGATGGTTTGGAAGTGGGATGCAAAGGAAATAGGAGTCCAGAACACCCAGCTTCTTTCTGTCCTACACAGAGAAAGATATTGCCATCAACTGAGACAGGGACGACCTTGGGAGGGTCAGGTCCTTTGTTTTTGGTTTTGGCGCAAGGGGAGAGAGAGGGAGGAATCAATCCAGAGTTCAGCCGGGTCATGTTAAGTTTGTGATGTCTATCAGGCGTCCAGGGGGAAATGTCAACCCGGCAGTTGCCTCTAGAAGTACAGGAAAGAAGTCTGAGCTGGAGATACATAGACGTCAGCAGCAAATAGCTCGAGCTTATATAAAGCAACAACAAACAAATAGACACCTGCAGATGTGATAAGTGCCCTGAACAGTAGGAAAAGGAGGCAAGAATGTTTGTGTGGGGGAAATTTTACGAAGATGGCCAAAGAAGGCCTGTCTGAGAAAGGATCACCTGCCTTCTCGCTAAGAAGCGAGAAGGGAGAGTGAGCGAACGCTAGCTGAAAACCTGGCAGAGTGCATCCACTCGTGCACGATCGTTCAGGCCAAAGCAAAGGCACTGACGCCCCCGCCCGACACGCAGCCCGAGGGCCAGGGCCGTCTCCGGCTTCCCGCCCTTAGGGTGCTTCCCTGGCTGCTGAAACCGAAACTCAGCTAACGGACACTCCAGCTTCTTCCAAAGGCCGAGCAAATTGAGCTAGAGTGCAGATTGCGTTTACACCACACGGCTCGACTCCTTTAGAGCCAATCCTCAAAAATGGAAAACTCGTCAAACCCACACGGTCACAACTTTTACAATGGCAAGGGAGGCCGCAGGGCTTCTTCCGCTCACGGGCCGCCTCACCAGCGTCACTCTGAGGTAACAGTCTCTCTACAATTGCTTCATGGAACCCCCAGGCGGGAGGGCTCCCCTACTACGGGTAGAAGAATGGGTCATATCACGTTGCGCGAACAAGGCAGGTCACGCGCCACAAAAGGATTCGCAGGGAGGGGCGACCAGACGACTCTCCCTCTAGCGCCCATTGGCTGCGATCGGCAGGCTCACCTCCCCCGCTGGTAACTGGGGGAGCCTCAGGCCCGACAGAAGCCCGCCCACAGGCGCTCGTGCGCACGCGTAGCGGGCTCTCAGCGCACTGAGCAGGCGCGGCCTCGTGTCGGCCGGAGGGGGCGGGTGGAGCGGCGCGCGCTGCGTCCCGGCGCTCGGCTTTCCCTCTGTCGGTCCCGCCCTCCGTCGCGGCGGCGCGGTGCACCCTGGGATAGCGAGCGATCTCCGAGCGAGGCAGCAAGATGGACGCGGGATTCTTCCGCGTAAGTAGAAGCGCGAGGATCTGGGGTGAAGCGAGGGGCTTCTTCGTAAGGCCGGTCAGAAGGCCTAAACTTGGGACAGAGTAGCCAGTGAAAGGAGGCTTCGGAGATCCTGAGGATCCCTGTTGCTGGCGGACGCTCCCCCCTGCGCTGCGGCCAAGACCGGTGCGCCCCTGCGCAGTCTCCTCCTCCGGGATCGTCCCCCCTACGCGGCGGCGACGGTGGCCGGAAAATGGCGGCGGGAATGGGCCGGAGCGGTGCCTAGCTGTCCGCCTGCCTGGAGGGGTCTGCAAGCTGAGCGCCGCGCGTGCCGCTGAGTCCTGGGGCCTAGCGGAGCCGCGAGGAGGAAGTCCCTAGGGGGAGGCTGGAGGGAAGCCCTGCGGTGACTGGCGGCCGGTGGGCACGGAGAGTACGGTTTGGGGGGGCGGGTGTATGCCTTGGGAGAGCCGCTTAGGGAGAGGAGGACAGGAAGCAGCGTTTAGCGGCTTTTCTTGAGAAAGCGGGCGCACGCCCCACCCCCCGTCCTCCCTCCGGGTCCTATCGCGGAGGCGCCAGGTCAGAGTTCGCGGGAGCTCCCGCCCAATTTGATATCCCTTCGGGGAGGAGAACTCAGATTAATTTGTATTAGGAACGGTTGAATCTGAGGCTCTTTGAGAACAGAGGGTGCGACGAATAGTAGGCGCGTGTGCGAAGGCAGATTAAGAAGCTAATCAACTCTCTTCCCTCCCTATACCTACACCCTTCTCGCCCCCGTTGGTTTTACTCGTGGAGTCCGCTGGCGAAAAGGTGACTTACTTAGGCTCTCGCATCTCTGCTCCCCCATCGCCTGCAGGCAGGGAAGTTGCCTTGTGGTTGGTTCTTGGGCCCCAGGCTTTATTGGGCTGTGCTGGAGCCTGTTCCGTATTCCACTCCTGTAGGAAATTAGCACTAGGTCAAGATCTAGATGGGTAGGAAGGGACATATGTAGGGCTAGAGTTGAGCACCATTGATCTCTTCACGGCTTGCAAATTCTTTTAATGTAGAATGGAGCCTTGTCGAGACAGACCAGTTGATGTAAGCCAAAAATCTCCATTTTCTGTAATACATGTTGACTCTACTCTTTGGAGCATGTAATTTGCAGTTTGGGTGTTTTTAAAGGAAAAATTGGAATAGGGAAAGACCAGGGCTTTAGTAAAAATATCTTTGGCAGTCCAAACTGGGTGTTGAAATTTTTTAATTGACTTTAAATATGCCAGCGAGTTTTTCATCAAAAGTTACAATATTCCAAGCATTTGAGCTAAGGCAGCCAGTTACTTGACTGTTCTTAGGTCATGCAAATGAGAAGATATTTGGAATGATGGTTTCAAATGACCTTACCAAATTTTCACACTGCTGATGAGTTTTCTATTTTGTAATTTCTATCAGAGTATTTTGTAGTAAATATTCACTATTTCCTGTAGTGCAAAACTAATATTTTTGAAACAAAAGTCTATTATTTTGGCTTTTGTCAAGTATTTCCTGTGGGAAGGAGTTCCAATAAAAAAAAAAAGGCAAGGTGGTTGATGTACACTTTAAAATGAAATTTGGTTTTGGTGTTAGTAAAAATCCAAGAGAGGATACAGTTTTTTATATACTGCCTACAATTCCTTAAATATAAGAATTAACGGGAGTTATACCCTTAAGTTAAAAGATTCTTAGGCAGTTATCTTTCTGGTACATTGCCAACCAGATAACTGAATATTTCAGTTAAGATAGTAATGATATCTTCCATTTAATGAACTTCTGCACATGGCAGGTACTTTACATATATAATTTCTGGTATACACAATCACACTGCAAGGTAGATTTCATTACTCTTCTTTTAGCAAGTAAGGAAACATCCTCAGAGAGACTAGATAACTTGCTTTGAGATCTTACGGCTAAGAGGCAGAATTGGAATTCTAATCCAGGTTCTTTACCTTCCCAAACAATTTTTTGATCACTTTCCAAGGGACTGTGGCCAACTCAGAGAACCAATCATTAGATTTTAGATCACACAGCCAGTTATTTCCATGTTTATTTGGGCCAATAGGGATGACAAAACAAAAACACTAGTGATCATTTGGTGTAATGTAGTATTTGTAAGCTCTCTTGTAAGTTTTCCGAGTTCTTTGCTGAAATTTAGTTTATTAAGGTAAATCTGTATTTCTCACGCATTCCAAATTTTTACCGTTGTGGGAAACTAACACAACACAGTCATAGGGTGTTCTTTTTTCCTTTTCCTTCTGTTTATATGCATTGCCACAGTAGTTTTGCAAGCATGCCGCTGCCTTTTCAGAAAAGAATAAAACTTCAAATGTCTCCATGTGTTCTCATTTAAACAGAAAAGCCTTAAGTATCTTTTGACATAGGAAAAGGTGTGAAAGGATGTAAATCAAACTTAACATTGGATATGGGAAGGGGTTGGCTTTATGCCATATACTGCTGTATTATGGGGGGAGGGGTTTGAGGTGGGGTCTCTGTTGCCCACGCTGGTCTTGATCTCCTGGGCTCATGCCATCCTCCTGCCTGAGACACTGAGTGCCTGGGATTACAGGCTCGTGCCACCATACCTGGCTGACTTGTGATCATATATTTTGTGATTTTTAAAACTGTCAGGTTTTCAAAATGTCAGCTGCATTGGGAAAAGGGTATACATTTGGCATGTTCAAATGTTATTTATGTTGTTTCAATTTACTTGATTACCCTATTTTGACTATAAAGGTCAAGCCATCATTACCTAATAAGAAGGTAAGGATTTAACTTTGAACCCCTAATTAAGATGTCGTGTTTCTCTTCCTTAAGGGAACAAGTGCGGAACAGGATAATCGGTTCAGCAACAAACAGAAGAAACTACTGAAGCAGCTGAAGTTTGCAGAATGCCTAGAAAAAAAGGTATTCCAGATGAGACTATTTTGCATGTTTATAGCACAGTTGATTCACGTTTTGGGGTTATTTTGGAGATGCATTGTAACTTGAATGCTAAGAAAAACATTCCTAATTGAACATTTGCCACCTTTTAGCCACCACACATACAGCACAACCAAGTAAGGATTAGCAGATTGTACTACATCAAATAACTTTGAAGCTGAAAGGAACTTCGTTAGAAAAAACTATTATATGAGGGGTTTTTTAGGATTGTGAAGTTGTACTCAATAATTGTTTGTATGT